TGGAAATCGTTTCAATCTTGTAAAACAGAAGACAGAAGTAGTTTCTTATACAAAGAGAGGCCTTTTTTCTAGTTTTAACTTCTTAACTAGTTCCACAGAAGGCAGAAGAATCATTTCTTATCTTCCTGAAGTTATTGATGGCATAAGCTTTTGGGCCAGCTTTGGCTCTGAGAACATGCAAGATTTGAGTATTCAACTTATGCACAAAAATTGGCGATCTCTCTTTTACATAACCAATGGAACACAGTAGAAATATCATTGAGGTAACTTTTTATTTTTTGCCTCTTCTAAATCTGCCCCTGTTGTGTGATGGTGTACCCACATAATATAGCTTGACTTTGCTTTTATTAAATCTGTCTGCACCCGACTCTTTAAAATTATTATGCATGTTCTAACACTCACTGTTCTTGAACCACGGACAATTAACAGTCTGAACCACAATGGTTACATCTCGGGATTTGATTATTTCCTCTAGCTTCTTCGTGGCAATTTTCGTAGCAGATTTCATTACAGGGTTCTCGTGGCTTCAAAAAGTAGTTAGCTTCTTTGCTGTCCTCGCGAACATCGAAGTGATTCATTCGTTCTGGAAAGACAAGAGGTCGATTTCATGTACTTCGAATACTTGTAAAACTATTAAAACTATTTCCTCAATGGTGACTATTAAAATAGCTTAAAATTTATGATAGCGTGTTTAGTTTTAGCTGAGGGATAGTTTGAAAATAGTTTCTGCCTTGTCTGGTTATCCCCGTCAAATCCAAAGGCTCTCAGAGTTTTACAATACTAAAAAGGTATTTAAGTCTTGTTATGGTTGACGAGCCGTGTCTATTCTTTATTATAACAGCTTTAGATGCAGACGAGCGATGCTTGTACAAAAAAGGCAGTTTTGCTAATGAACTGTGTGAGTTAATGGTAACTTGTTTCTGGGTAACGAATCCACTTATTCACTGAAACTTTAAATTTTCAAGGTGACTGGGGAAAATTAGATGTCTACAAGTAACTGTCTTTCTTACGCCCTCACTTCGTCCCGCCCCTCCCCCCTCCCCAAAAAAAGGAATAAACGAAATAAAATAAAACTCCTCTTATTTTAGCGATAAGGGTACAGTCTGCAATGCAGTGATTTACGATGATTTACTTCATCATCATGTACATCCTTTGGGAGCAGCCTTCTTTCATATGATTTCCAGTCCGCACTGCTCACTCTCGAGAGTGTGTTTACGATTTTCGTTTTGTTTCATGTAAGACATCACAAAATGTAAACATTTCGAAACTACTAACATGAAGTAAATTGAAAGTTTCATGTCAAAACCGTCATTATGGATGCGAAGTTGTATGCTTCGTTATTTCTCATATCACTTGATGAAACAACTTCGCAGTTGTAAAAATCAATGAAGCCGTTGGAATGAGATTTTGAAAGGTCTCAAAGATAAGGTATGTGGTTCGTAACGAATAACATCGATTCGCATTCCAGCGAGTGAGACTTTTTATGTTTACAAACATTAGAGTGCTGAGACTGCGCAGTACGGACTAGAAATTACCTTTAAGCATCTTAATTTTATCCCTTTCATACTAATTAGGTTGTGTTATTTTAGTGTTATATTTTCACTTTTTTTCTGTTTCGCGCATTAATCCTTAATTGTTCTTATTTTCATCACACACTATTAAACTGTTCATTGCTCCTTTTCTGTTGGTATTCTTGTAAACTGATGATGGATGATGTTTCATCCGAAACATGTCTTGTTAATATAATGTCAGTGAATTTCAAACACATCTTGCGTGGTTTTAAAAAGCATATCTCATTTTGCACAGCTAAAAAGCCTTGGAAATCTTCTTTTGTAGTAATCGGTGAGATTTTGATGTGTTAGTAGTAACGACAAAAGAATGGTTGCCCATTAATAAAAAAAATCAGTTCCAATGAAAGGAAACATACCTCTTTTATCTGCTAGTTTATACTGGTAACTGGGTCCTCCATCAGATCGTCTGTTATTGTAACGCGGTCCGTCGTCTGATAGTTTATGGTGGTAACGCGGAATGCGTGACGTCACGGCGACAATGAGAACCGCAAGTATGACAACACTGATTATAGTCTTCATGATGACAAAATGCAGCTTAAGATGAAATCAAGGTCAAAATCTGAAAGAAATGTATAAATAAATGTATCAAAAACATAATATTACATATGATTTGTATCGCAAACCTAGATTATGGGCTTGAGATTTCTGTGAGGTGATGGTTGATGAGGCCAGGGGCTGAATCGACATGTATAAGCAGTATTTATTATATTTCACGCTTTGCACGTGGACTGTTATTTAAAAAATACAAACATGTACCGTGTTTTTATCGAGTTATAGAAACACGAGTTGAAGTTTGGGAGAACGAGAGAAATTTTTAACCAATCAGCGCGCGTATTTTCTTAGGACTGTTTTGTAAAGTGTATGTATGGGTAATCAAATGGCGACAAGTGAAATAGGAAATAATTTCACGTGCTTTTTGTCAACACAAACTTTTGGAATTTTGGCATAGCGTGAGTGATTTTTTTCAAAATTATTTTAGGAGCATACCATTTCATTAGCTTTTCATATCATGGGTGACAAATTTTGCTTACAATCGTGGATTGTTGACTTGCTTATTGTGTAGAGAAATTTCGCGCCAAACGTTGCCATGGCAATTTTGTAATTTCACTCGTGAAATTATAAATGAACGCTAAAATTTCGATTCAGTGTTAAGGAGTAACTTGTCACCCATGATATGAAATGCATAAATGCTGCCGTAGCCAACCATGCATTCTAATCTTTTAGCGAAAAAATGTGAAGCGAGAAAACGACGAGCTGGGAAGTATCTGTCCTTATCCGGGTCCATTCTGTACTTTGCTTTAACAATTAGATTATGGACTCGAGATGTCTATCACGTGATAGTTGACGAAGTTAATTCTCGCGTGTGCAAATCAGGGTCGAATAATGTAATAATTGTTTTGGTGTAAAAATCTATTAGACAACTGGTAAATTGTACAAATCTCCTTCACAGACAATTCGAAAACTCAAAGAAGCGGTCGCCAAGTGGTCTCTTATTGGTCGCCGATAAGAGAACGGCATTCGTGGTCGAACGCCATTAGGTTTATACGTATTGCAAGGTTAGTCAATCGATAAACCGATAATCGATGTTAATCGATAAAAATCGTATCGATGATATCGATTGCCGATTGCAGTCGATGAAAATCGATGAAGAAAAAAAGTTGTAATTTATCGATTGGCGATAATAATCGACGGCGATTGATTCATCGTTTGGTATTGACTATTATCGATTGTTATCGGAAATTATTTTTGTCCTTTTACAAGTTACACTGATAAAATATTTGACAAAATTTGTCTATAATAGTTTATAATGGTCTTGTTGATATCAATCTTCGATTGATATCGGTTATTATCGATTAATATCGAATGTCATTTTATCGATTGACTGCGCCTGGACTTGTTAGGTGGTATCTCTTTCATATGGAAAGCCTTATGTTCTCTGGTTCAGTTGAACGTAGTCTTACTAACGAATTTTATGTTGAAGAAACTTCTGTACTGTGTTGGCAGGAACTCGCTGACAAGAGACAATGCCTTAACAATAAGGTTTGCGCAGTGTTGAAATTCGAGAAGCTTACCTTATGTGAGCGAGTGATCTCAAACTGGCGGCGTGAGGTTCAGGAGTTGACTGCAAGTGAGCTGATATATGTCGTAAAATATATTTCGCCTTAGAGCATTTCATTAATGAAGTCTGTTTTCTGATTGGCCACGGAGTTGGTGTTGTAGTAGCACTAATTGAACGAGAGTGATTTGTTCTCATTAGGCGTTGGTCTGTTAGTTGGGTTCAGTGATTTGTTAAGAAATCTCCGTTTCGGGTCAAAACTCACTAGAGATGTCGCAGTGGTGAAAAACGAAGCCGATTTCTAAAGTGTTTTCTTCTTTTGTGTTTTCTGAATGACAGTGCGTTAAGGAAAATTATCCCTGGAGGGGATGCATATATTTAATCTCTGAACTAAACCTCCAAATGTTTTCTACCGGTATTCAATTTCTATTACATTAAAACGGCGAAAAAGAAAATCTTTTTTTGTTCTAAATGGACGGAAATATAAACACGTAAAAATACAGTTGGACAGTACATTATCCAAATGAGCTGTTGGCAAATCAGTTCTTTGGTTCAGCGATTCGCTAAGAGCTTTTGCTAAGTAATAAATAAATTTGATCTCCATGAGGTAGGGTGTTGCTTTTTTGTGTTTTATAGACAGCGAGGCGCCTACCTCGGCGATTATTTTTAAAATTTGAGCTTGAAATTAAAAAAATAAATAATAATAATAATAGCAATAATAATAATAATAATAATAATAATGATGATAATAATGATAAATCAATAAAAATAAGAATATTAAAAAATCATAATAATGAAAGAACTTTTGAAATGAATACAACAGGGAAAACATGTTGACTCTGATGTTATGTGTTCTCAATTTTTACTCTGACGTTCATAGTGTGATATTCTACCCTGAGTATTGTTACTTATGACATGGTAATAAGTTATAATGGGGAATCGCTCTGGCTTGGGACAAGACCGGGCCACACTAGAAGCAGGCAGCTAGATCAAGCCCGACTTACTCGTTGGGTAGAAGAGTGGGTCGCCAACCTCTTCGCTTTCGCGGCTCCGAGTAGAGTTATGGGTGCAACATTCTTTACTGTTATTTGCATAATCCCCAGAGTATCAATTACCAATGCAAATTGAGTGTTCATAGTGATCAGCGATCAATTGATGGTCTTAAGGCAGCGATGTCCAAACCCCAAGCGACCTTAAGACTCTCTAGGTTTGACATTTTACAGTAAAAGCTTAGTTCCCTGCATCTACAAAATCCAAGCGATGTTTAACATCCCAGCTCAAGAGGTGTTCCGCGAGGTCGATTTCTTGGTAGTTATTGCAAAGAAACAATACACTGATGTCAGTTCAAAAGACGAAAATTTCCATTACCCAGCGCTACGTTTTTCATTTCTCCGCTTCTTGCGAAGGTAGATAGTTTCTACAGAAGTAACATCAATTGACTAAACTTTACTTTGATGCGTTCGAGATTTTGACTGAACTGGGTGTACGGGTCAATAAAACTTTTTAGAACTTTGAGCAGGATTTGCGGATTCTCAGTAATCTGAACCCTCCAAATTACAGGTGCGATTGGAACTTTTGAAAACTTTTACTAACTGCCCCAGAGATAACAAAGCGTATTTTGAATTGGAGCGGGCTTACACGCGAGCGCCAAGGGCGCTAACTTGTAAGGGGTCTGTAGATATTTTATGTATGTTTTGCTTGAAAATGTGAAGGGGGGGGGGGGGGGGAGCCCTCCCTCAGAGTCTGAAACTTAGGTGAGTGGAAAAGCTGAATGAAATTCCTTACCGCTGGTTGCATAAGCGTGGGATGGTTTGTGTTTACAAGTAAGGAGAGCCGCCAAATTTCCAACGACACNAGACAGTTTCAAAATGGCGGCCTCCGAAGTCGCTTCTTTCGAGACGAATTTCTTCAGGATAGCGGGCCCTCCAGCCTCTTCACTCCGCCGTCCCTGTGCCTTTAGGGGAAATTCCTTACCGCTGGTTGCATAAGCGTGGCATGGTTTGTATTTACAAGTAAGGAGAGCCGCCAAATCTCCAACAGCACCATTAGTTTCTTTTACGGTAAAAGGAGAAAAAGAAAAAAAATGAAAACAAGTGAACGAACGCACAGAGCAGGTGAAAACCTACTCACGGTTGATATTGTTTGCCTCTCTGGCTCAGTGATTGGTATTAGAAATTGTCGATGCGAATCAAACACTGTAAAGAGGTCCTTAGAATAACAGAATGTTGCTTTGGCGTCGATTAAGGTCCGGCTAAACACACGCAACGTTTTAACGCAACATATTACAACAATTTTACGTTCAACATGTTGCACACGTTTGGCCAGCCTGTTGCAAGATGTTGGATGGTGCAACTGGTGGCCAAGTGCAATATGCTGTGCGCAACAATGTTACAATCATTCGTTGAAATGTTTCGTGTGTTTAGGCGGGCGTTTTAGATCAAAAACGCAGTGTGCCAAGACTAGATTGCGATTTGAAGAAATTACTATTACGGACATCCAGCGATCTATCAAAATCTTTACATTACAAACGACAGAATAATTCAGTTGATTACGCTCATCACAATTCACTATAATCACAAAATTGATTGCTGTTTTCCCTGAATAGCCTTTATTTTCCACCAACTTTCCAGAAACCTAACAAGTTAACGGAGTAAATAATTTGCTCAGGCTCTTCCAAACAGAGTATTCGTCTCAACTCATTGCTTAAAGTGATTTAAATTTTGCTGCAAATTAAAGACATTTTCTTAAAGTTGACGTGGGTAAAGTTAGTTTATTTCCTTGCAACGCGTTGATATGACAAGAGCAAGAATAATGATCAACGTGTCCAAAAAAAATGTCTAAAAATAGGAGACAAGTATAGGAAAAGCAATGGCGTTTGGGCACTTTTCTCACTCCTACCGCATTGAAGATTCACGACTGGGGATTTAAAATGCATGCAGAAATCATAACATTGCACGAAATGAAAAATACGAAATATTTTGGGCCTCACAGCTTTGATTTTGGTGCAAAAACAGGGTCTCGTGCGTCGTGCTCAGCAAGTAAGTGTCGCTTGGAGTTGTCTCAATCTTAACAAAATATCTTATTCCTAGTTAAATTTAAAACTAGAAGAGGTCAAACCGGACGTTTTTATATTCAAGCGATGAAAAAATGGTCTTAAGCCCCGGCCAAACAATCGCAACATTTTAGTACAACATATCGCAACATTGTTGGTCCAGCATTTGCAAGTTCCGGCCAAACGATCGCAACATTTGAACGCAACACTGCTGGGCGTAACATGTTGCGCTCGTTTGGCCACCCTGTTGCAACGTATTGCTACGTTTTGCGGCATAATGAGTATTGAAAATCGAACTAGTGCGCTTGCCCTGACGCAACATTTTCGCCCGAACCTGGCTAAACGACTAAAACATCATGCAACATCCTCAAATGTTGCTTGAAAAATTTGACCATTTTTCAAATTCGAGCCAACAACACCCAACATGTCGCAACACGTCGCAGCAGGGTGG